AGGAGGGGGGGGGGCGGTGAGTGCTTACAAGTGACATTATTAACAGTTTAGGCCATTCATACGAGAGAGTAAAGCAAAAGGGCGGAGAAAGAGAAACACAAATCAGCCAATCGTATGATGACAGATTGAAGCAAGTGGTGGATTGGGCAGGATTCCGATATAATGTTTTCGCCAACATTGACTATCAGACTGTGTGGGTCGAGTGGGTGTGGGAGATTAGATTCTGGGTAAATGGGACCTACAGGTCGTCGTTCTGGCCAGCCAGAAACAACATGAACTAACGGGGCGGAGATTTGGGGAGATAAGATTTATGAAGACCACCAAGAAACATATCCTGGCCAATCGTATGGTAGGACAAAGCGAGTGGGCGGGGCAGGTTGGAAGGGTGTCTGTGAAGTTCCCAAGAGAGAAGGAGAAGGGAGGGGGTGGGGAAACGGGAGGAGGGGCGAAGAAGGTGACAAACAACACAAGGGAAACAATTCACACAAAAATAAGGAAAAGGAAACAATTTGTGTTCTCACCAGGGCGCACAGCCAGAACACCTAGCAGTCATAATAAAAAAAAGTAAAAAGAATAAAAACAAAACAGAAAGAAAATAACGAACAAACAAACCGACACCCCATCCCTCAAAATACAACATACGCAAATCAACAAACAACAAACCCAAATATAAACATACACACACACACTTCCTTCACTCACCATAAAAAAACAATAGTTAACAAAAACAAAAAACAAAACAAAACACAAAAAAAACAACAGATATACTTAACAAAACACATCACAATCAGGCATCAAAGGTAACTAATGAAAATGCAAACAATTGACGGAAGACAACGTAAAAGTTTAAACAAAACCAGACATTCCGGGAAAAACAAAACTAACCCCATCCCCCTCCCCACAAAAAGCCACCGAACCTACCAAAACAACTATACCGTATTATAAACAATGTAACAAGACGAATATTAGACCAATCCCTCACGTAAGCATGGCAGAGACTGTTTTAATCACAGAAAACAACGATATACTTTTATTGAGGTACTTCAGCAAGGCATGCAGCTAAATGGCTCCCATGCTTTGACACACACATACACAGAAAAGA